TCTATATTCTGACGACTATCAAATGCTACCTGCAGCCCAGACATCTCCTTAAGGTGTCGAGTCAACTGCTCATTTGTTTTTCCCATATGAACAGCATGGAACAACTATGTCAAACTTTACAAGGGCCTTTGCGTGGGATTCCCCCCCCCCCAAATTACTAGTGTACCTTATTCACTGGTGCCTCGCACATGGTGGGCATTCACATCTACAAACAAAACCATCCTTAACTAATGGGACTGCTTGGTCACTGCCTCTAGTATGACAGTATGCCAAGTCCCATAGAGCTTCAGGTACACTGTATGTACTTAATATCTGATTGAATTAGCAAACTTACTTGGTTTAGGTTGAATTCAACCTAGGCGAATGTTTACAGTGAGGTCAGACTGGAGGCCAGGAAGTTGTCAAAAGGTACTGGGACACTTTCCAGAGTAACCAAACTACCGCAAGGTCAGAATGCCAGTGTCAACAGCATTTGGTCCTGGGCAGGAAGTGGAGGTATGGGGCAGACCCACATCCAAATCTCCAGGTTACTAGCTTTGTGACCTTGGACACCTTAGGCAAACATGCTGGGTGAACACCTGCAGGTCCAGGTGCCTTTTTTGGGAAAGAACAGAATAGAAATTTCAAGGGCTAACATTGCCTGTGTGAAAAAAAATATAGTTCCTCAAGTAAGTTGTTGATCAACTAGGAAATAAATGCCTGATTTAAATAATTTGGACAAGCAAGTTGAGCATTAGTTGTAGAAGGGTGCTTGCTAGGCCTGACGCCTGAGTAAATTGGTGAGATTCTGTTCCTAGTTACGAATCTGTTGTCCTACTTGAAATTCCATCTCATCTGGAGGATGCTGACCCTACATTTTAAGGATTAAATGTTACTAGATTAAGTAAACCATATTATATATAAAGCTCCCTTACAGTAAAAGTTTTAGACAGTTCCTTTACACTTTCTTTTTAAAAGGTCAAGGACGTTTTCGAGAGGCTCAATATTTGATTAAAAGGAAAGCACACACACACACCAAAAGGCAACATTTAAATTACCCAAAGAAAGTGAAGGGAAAGCAAGTCTATGAGTAAATTAGGGTAACTTTGGTTTTAGAATATGAGAAATGGCACGCGAAAATAACAGAGTAGTGGATTCAGACAACCGATCATCTAATCCAATAAAGTTAGGAAAGAAAGTTTAAGCATGAACCCACCTAAATACTTAGTGCTGGAAACTATAAATACTTTTCGACCCACTGCCTACTTTAAAATTCAAGTCGAAGACTTCCTAGGGCTGACACCTCACCAGCACACTCCAGCCCCTTCGCTAGGGCTCACCGGGGCCCTCGGTTTACTTTATTTCTTCACCACCACCTAGGAGGTGAGTATGACCACAGTGGTTTGCAGGCACAGACGTGCGACTGGGCGGGAAGCCTGCAGGGCCCTGGAGGCCGCGTCCTGGGCCTGCGGCCTCGGGCGCGAGCTCGGCCTGAGCCTGCGCCCCGGGTCGCGGGTCAAGGTCCCGCGGGATGGGCCGGCGCGGCGTCCGACGTGGCCTCGGCACCAGGCAGCAGGCGCCTTCCGCGAGGGCGGGGCCGCGCCCCAGCCCGTCCCCGTGACCTTGAACCTGGTGGGCCCGAGAGGCGCT